AGAATACAGTACTTTATGGGTCACTCTGCACATGCTCAGTTTGGTGTGTAGTGCTAGAGAGGTTTTTTTTTCTTTGGGAGAGTGTATGTGATCAGCACAGGTCCAATCAGCACTGTCTAGACAGAGGGTCAGGGGTCATGCAGCCTCATAGGACAGTCAGGGGAAAATGAAAACTCCTCCTACAAGCTTTAACCAGTGCTCTGCTGGACACTGATAGAAGTCACAAGACTGCTCCAACTGCGGATGAGAAAAGGTATTTAGCAGTTTATATTTACTAAAATAACTGCATTTCCATGTTCTGTGTACTGTACAGATATAGTGAATGAGACCAGATATAGTGAATGCAGGGTTCGGGGAGCAGATATAGTGAATGAGGGTCCGGGGTGAATGCAGGGTTAGTGAAACACTTTAAGATTATGAAAGGGACCACAATGTATTATTTACTGGGCATATAGTGAAACAGAGATCTAAAAACATTAACTACAATTAAAGACATAAAAATACAAGCACCCTTCAAATATAGATTCCAGTGTGGTTTGTACTAGAATTTGATGCATATGAGCAATTGAGTAGTGACATGATACTTTTTTTATTTGCACTAACATACAATTTTGGGAACAAGCTTTCGGGGTATGTCCCCTTCTTCTGCCTGGACCTTGAAGACATACCCCGAAAGCTTGTCCTCAAAATTGTATGTTAGTGCAAATAAAAAAAGTATCACATCAGTACTCAATTGTTTCTGTCGCACAAGTGCACTAATACAGCTACAATCACCTCAAGCATGCATATGAGCAGAATATTTTCAATTTAAGGTTTTTTTTTTTACCAAACTATGGGAATAATTTTGAATAATTTAATATCAAAAATATAATTTTTTTTTCTTATACCAACACTTCCAGGAAAATTGAGACAAAATAATATTACATCCTTGCATCCATTTACATCTGTTTTCACAGACTCTTTTGTAATATTGTTCCATTAATGTAGCTCGTCCAATCACTACCATTACTGCAGAGCCTGGACGCCAGTCCGCTGAGTATATTATCTAGCTGGGAGAATACATAGTGCCGCTGCAATTTGCAGTCTGCAGGAATGTGCAAAATGCTTGACTCAGAGAACTGAAATGTTTCATAAAACTCTTTAATAAGAAAATATGTGCTTCCTACATTTTTGATGACTTGTTTAGTTTTTATCCTTTTTTTTATGAAAACTTTTTTTTTTTTTTCAAAGATTAGCTGGCAAAGATTTTAATTGTAACCCATTATTCTTCCTAAAACACAAGTTCACAAAAGACCACACAGCGGGATGTTAGTTAATGAAGATAGTTTTATTTTCCATTCCCCTTTTTGGAGAAATATGAATTATACATTTATCACAGTAGTAGGAAAAAAAATATAATGAAAAAAATCAGACGGCTTCTGATATTTTGTATCTTGTTTAAATAGTTTATAGGAAGTTGCCGAGAAGCCTGCTGTACTTTACAGAAGCCCTTAATAGCCTTGTTTGAGGTCAGCTAAATATTGAATGTTATATAGGCAGTTAGTAGAGCACTACAGACAAGGCTCCCTGAAATGAGCCCATAGCGGGAGGAAAAGGGCCCTGCTGTTTCAGCAAACACGGAATCAAAATTAGAAAAGGCCATTTCCGCTTTATCAATTCTTCAATTTTCTTCTGAAAGGCAATTTGCTAGGCTGCCTATTAATTCTTTCAATTAGGAGCTGGTTATCATGAGACTAGCAGGAGAAGTGAAGACTTTGTTTGTTTTTTGCACAAAGGACGTCCGATGTTCGCCAGCAGTACTGACTAATTAATCTTGTTTAATTCTGCGTTTTCCTATAGTCTCCCGTAAATTTCTTTATGTTCCACACAGGCCAATGTGAATATGTTTTCTTTTATTGCTAGCTCGGGTTAACAATACTGTTGAGGAATTTTCATAAAAAAAAAATGGAAAGGTTTTAATATTGTTGGGGTTGTTCACTTTTCCCAATTAGAGAAGAAAGCCCTTACATGTTCACAGAGCTGTACTTATGCAGGATGGGGCCCCATCAACACCATTAGGGGACTTGCCCTGTCTCTCTAATTTCCATTCCAAAGGAAGTTCCTCTAGTGATACAGAATACTAATTATTTTCACACCAATTGTATAGAGGTTCCCAAACTTTATATACATTAATTTTGTCCAAAGGTAGTATAGAGATAGGCCACCACTCACGCTTGTAGGGGCATTGGCCCATGTGTAATCCATGAAAAAATGTCTCAAGACTTGAGAAGGGTGGGCTGTGCCCCTCCGAAATGTTGATAATGAATATACAACATTGGAACATTCCTCCTGCTGTAAGTCTTGTTGAGTAGGTGCCTACTGCATATCCATTTTATCCAAATGTATTGTCACCTGTACAAATCACTGTACAGCCTACCAGTTCTGGCCTCCTTAATGGCCGCATGGTCTGTTATGGCTCTAGTTAAGCCAAGGCACTTGCATTATAATTTGATGATCATGCTGGATTTCCAAGGGCACGTGTAACAAGGCCAAATGTGTAGAGCAGCAAATACTGAATGGTCTGTTATGGCTATAGTTACGCCAAAGTAGTTGCACCTTAATTTGATGACCATATAGGATTCCCAAGGGCACATGTATCATGGCCAAAATTATAGAGCAGAAAATGCCATATGATCTGCTATGGCTTTGGTTAGAGAAAGGCATTGGCACCATAATTTCATGACAATATTGGCTTTCCAAGAGCACATGTATCAGGGCCAAACATGTACAGCACCAAATGCCATATGGTCTTCTATGGTTATAGTTATGGCAAGGCACTTGTGCCATAATTTGATGACCATATTGGATTTCCATGGGCATGTCTATCATAGTCAAAAGTGTAGAATAGTTCTGGGTAGCTCCAGCTGTGCGGCAGCTGCCTTCAGAACTATTGGAAACAGCTGGTTGACCCAACACTGTACTAGTGCTAGCCATAGCTCTGTGTGATGACTCAAATGGGGTTATTTACTAAAACTGGAGAGTGCAAAATCTGGTGAAGCTGTGCATAGAAACCAATCAGCCTCCAGGTTATTGTCAAAGCTCATTTGAACAAGCTGAAGTTAGAAGCTGATTGGCTTCCATGCACAGCTGCACCAGATTATGAGTGATCCAGTTTTAGTAAATCTACCCCAAAATACTGTGGGCCAACAAGACAGCCAGACAAAAGTATAGAGCACCATTAACCATATATTTGCTATTGTAATAGTTACACCAAGACAGTTGCACCATAATTTGATGTCCATGTTGGATTTCCAAGGCCACATGTATGGCCACAAGTATAGAGCAGCAAATGCCGTATGGTCTACTATGGCTTTAGTTACACCAAGGCAGCTGCACCATTATTTCATGACGATGTTGGATTTCTAAGGGCACATATATCATGGCCAAAATTATAGACCAGCAAACACCATATGATCTGCTATGGTTATAGTTACCCCAAGGCACTTATATCAGGGCCAGAAATATAGAGCACCAATAACCACATATTAAGCTATGGATTTAGTGACGCCAAGCTAGTTGCACCATAATTTGATGACCATGTTGGATTTCCAAGGGCACGTTTATCATAGCCAAAAGCAGTAGTTCTGGGTGGTTGTAGCTGTGCGATAGCTGTCTTCAGAGTTATTAGAAGAAGCTGGTTGACCCAACAGTGTTCTTGTGCTAGCCATCGTGTGATAACTCAAAGTTCCAAGGGCCAACAAGACAGCCATATAACTAGCAGAATAAAAAAGAGCAATGGCAGTCTCCATGTTTCTTTCTTGAACATTTTCCTTTAATGACTAATTATTAAAAGTATTGCACAAGCGCAATCATGACTGGTTCCCGTTAATAATAATTCTAACCAACTAATTCAGTCCATGAGCTCCAGTCAAATGACTTTGCCTAGACCAAGACAATGGGGTTGATTTAATAAAGGCAAATAGGCTGTTCACTTTGCAAAGGGAAATTGCACTTTGCAAGCATATTTGCCCCAGAAATTAATAAATGAGATGAAAGTCTATTGACTTCCACCATCCATCACTTTCATCTCATTTATTAATTTCTGGGGCAAATATGCTTGCAAAGTGCAACATAACCACTTTCACTAAGCTCTAGGACAAACTTGCTTGCAAAGGGAACAGCTTACTTGCCTTTAGTAAATCAACTCCAATGTCACCAGTCTACTGCGAGTAGGAGGAGCTCTACTATTGTAACTATATCTACTATTGTAATTTTGAAACAAGTCACAAGGTGAGTGGCTGCACCAGGGGCTGATCTGTGTCAAGCATTTGTGGACAGCCAATAATTGCACAAGCATTGGTATTTACAAAGCATCCCTGAGCTTGCATGAAGTAGATACTGAGCCTAGGTAATGCCTGAACAAAGATAGCACCATCCTTCTGGAGAGAAAAGCCGATTAAAACCTTGTCAGGGTAAGTACTGTGAACTCTGTGAGAAGTAATAAATATCTGTAAGTGTTAAACGTATACATGACTTAACAAAATTCCAGTAAAAATAATGTTTCATTCACTTGTTTGTCTGTAAGATATATTGTGATGATGCACAAACATGAACAAATTAACAGACACAAAAGAAGAAACCTTGGCGCATTGCGCACAAAGCGTTTCTTCCTATAATGGCTGTTTATTTGTGCATGTCTGTACATCATCACAATAGATCCGACAGTCAAGTAGGACAAACAAGAGAATAAAGAGGTTTCATTCTATGGAGTTTCCTTGAATATAGCAGGTCCTGGCATGTTCTGAAAGCCGCGATCCTTGATGCGGGGTGTTTGAAGCCGGCTTCCTTGGGGCAGTAAAGTTGCCATTTTTTACACATTATTTAGCTTTTTTTGCATGAAAATAAACCCACAGAGAGTATACAATGCTTCAAAAATGAAGTACAGAGACAATTCCAAAAAGCACCAATCACATGCAACCTGTCTTTCAAGTTTTGGATGTGATTGGGAAGTATTCTCCTACTCAGGGGCGGACTGACCATTTGGAAACTCGGGCACTGCCTGAGGGCCCGGGGTCAGTAGGGGGCCCCATGAGATGCCCCTGGTACCTTTTTCATAGGCTTTTTTGAGTTTGGGCAAGGACACAGGGGCCCCATGATCCCCTATTGCCTGGGGGCCCCATGAGTTGTCAGTCCGCCTCTGATTCCTACCCAGTGGTGTATTTAAGTTTTGTGCTGCCCTAGGCAACACAAAAATTGGCTGCTCAACCCCCCCCCCCCTTCCATGGAAAGAGCTTGAGACCAACCAACACCACCCCTTCCCCCTGTCTGCGGCGAGAGAACCTGACATTGACCAACAACACCCCTGCCCCCTCCCACCCAAGAGAGCTTTCCACTACCAACGCCCCCCCCGTACACTGACCCCCCCCCCATCGAGAGAGAGGAGACACTCACCTTCACAGCTCCAGACATCCCCGGGAACGAGAGTTGGGCTCTGCATACACCATTAAGTAGCCCACAGCCTCTCTCAGATCCCACCTGGTCCCCATGTCACATGTGTCCCTTCTTCCTTCCCTTTTTCTGGGGGTGGCATTGCCCCCCTGAAAAATGCCTTGTAGTAAATACACCCCTGCTTCTACTACTAACTCTATGGGACCGTGTGTGCCCGTGGATGTGGGTGATTACACCAGTCTAGATGTTGGGTTGCAACGTGTTCTAATTAGCTTTAGTAGCTCACAATTTAACTTCACTATAGAAAAGTGAGGTCAATGACCTGGCTGCGTACAGGGCTGCTGTTAGAAACCACGGGGCCCCATACAGCCAACCTGACAGACCCCCCATAAAAAGTTTACTATGCTACAGTTATAAATGAACACAGTGAGTGATCAGTACCGATCACACGTTGTGTTCATTCAGGGAAGAAAGGGGCTAGTAAATGTGACATGCACCGGTCCCTTCCATCATTTTCCATCTTGAAGGATCCTACTGCATTCTTGCAGGTACCGGTAGGAAGGAGAGGAAGGAAACTTGCAGTACTGTGTGGGGGGTGGGGGACACAGGGTGGAATGGGCAGTTGAGGGAAATGTATGGTGCAAAGGGAGGGTGATAGATGTCCCTTATGAGGAAGTCAGGAAGTGACGAAACGCGTCAAGGGACGTGACCTTGGATGTTGCACGGAAAACTGGAAGTGGTGGAGCGACCATCTTTAATGAGGTTTACCACATTTGGCGTTCCAGGAAGCTGCTTGAGGTGGAGTTATGTGATTTTAAGGTTTTCTATATGTAAGCACAATTATTAAAGTTTGGATCTTTATATTATTGGAACATACTGCACTATATGGCTATTATATCTTTCTATGAGTAATATGGAGTATTATATGGAGTATAAACAGGTAAGAAATATAAAAGAAGAAAAGAATTAGCGAAGGGAGCATGACTAGGCCCAGAGTGGGAAGGAAACGTGTGAGGGTTAATGATTTTTTAGAGTTGGTAAAGGATAGCTGGGGGATCTGGTTGGTAGAGGGAGAGTAGGTGGGGTCTCCTGCACTTTAGGGTGGGGTGTTCTGAGGAGGGGCGTCAGTTGGGAGCTGGACGTGGGGGAGAGAGAGCTTCCCTCCCGCCCGCCCTGTTTGGTGAATGTTGTGTTCCTCCTGGGGGGGGGGGTTTTTTGGTTCCTGGGCGGTGGTTGGTCTTTGGAGGCGGTTCTTATCTTGGAGGTACAAAATGGGTGTGGGACCCATCGTTGGTGATGTGCCCGGGAACAGTTAACCAAGGTTTAACTGGAAGGTGGTGGTTGCACTGCGGACAGTATGGTTGTCTCCGAGCTGGTTGGTTGCGGCTGGAGGCCTAGTGGAATTGGTTGTCCGCAGGTGCATTTGGATCGTTTTGGGGGTGCCTTCAAAGACCAACGACAACTCTTTATGTTTTCTGTTATAAGGAATGGTTGATGTGTTTAAACTTGATTTGTTAATAAAAGGCCGTGTTGGCCATTTTACTCCAAAATTGGTGTTGTGTTTTTCTGTAAGTATAGTAAGTAAAGGGGATTGGTATGGAAGGGTAATGGTGGTGTAGTGGGGTATGGATGAACCTATCTCGGGTGCACTAGTCAAGAGTATTGGATTGAACATTTTGGGATCAGAAGGTATTCCTGTGGTGATTAGAGCAAGGTTCCAGCAGATCACTATTTCTTTCTGGATTTCTGGATTCTAAAAGGCTGGATTATTATTTTTTATTAGGGTAAGGGTATGTGATTCAGCCACTTAGATGTGTTGTGTTCACAGAGGAGTGTACATATAAAAGTTCACACAGAGTGTTTCACTATCACAAGTGTTTTCACGTTTTGTGTGTTTTATTTGCACAGAGATAATTGGAAATTTATGAGTTCATTATTTATTGAGGATAATACACTATTGAGTTTTTCTTTGTTTTGAGGTACACGGCAATTATTGGAATCACACGGTGAATTTAAATCAGAAATTGGATAAAAATTCTTTGGACTTTGTTTTGGGTTTTTTTTTATGCTTTGTAAAATTTTGCGGACACTGGAAAGGTTTATACAATTGTGTCAGGAGGGTGATTACTGGAACCGATCCCTTGTATGGCTCTCCCTGCAGCAGCTGAAAGCCAGCAGGAGAAAGAGGAGAAGAAGCGAACTTTCAGCTGCTGCAGACAGAGCCAGGCAGCTTAACTCTTCAACAGGACACAGAAATTGAATCCAATGCAATCTTATTTCAGTTAATTACAGAACAGAGGATTTTTTTTAGTCTTTTGAAGTGTAATAAGACAATGGGGCTTATTTAGTAAACTTGGAGTGTGGTGCAACTCTGTATATAAACCAATCAACTTGGGTTCACACTTCTGCGGTGCGGCATATCGCATGTGATTCGCCTTGGAACAGCACCGCATTCCTGTGCAAATCACATGGGAATTTGTTGCGGTGGCATTTGAAATAGAACAACATGTTAGCCCAGGTTCACACTGATGCGGTGCAGAATTTGCAGCATTTTCAATGCGAATTCCGCACCGCATCAGATTCGCGCTCAGTTCACGCGAACCGTTGCGGGTGTGTATGTTATGGTAACAACACCCCGAAAGCAGTCCGCAAATTGCGGTGCGATGGGCAGAATTGGATCACATTGGTGTGAATACCCGATTCTAGTGCGGACCAAAATAGGGTCCTGCACCTTTTTGGTGCGGGCGCGATGCGAATAGAGCCATACGAAATGTTTGGCTCCAATCGCACCGCATACAAATTGCATGTGATTTGTACAGGAATGCGGCGCGGTTCCTGCGCGAATCACAAGCTAAAACAAGTATTTGTATCTATAATAGAAATGGCCGTTGCTTATGATGCCCAGCAAACTAGATGTCATTCATTCAGCGATCGCTTGTACAGAATTTTCACTGCAGTGTCTACGTAGGATGGCATTATAAACTTGGAGAACATCACGTTCCTAAGCTACGTGGAGCAGTAAGGTCACGTCAATTTAATGGTGACCTGTGTAGGTGTTTTTTTTATTATGTTTTCATTATTTCGATGTTTTTCTCTAATACACAACTTGGAAACCTGAAATCAACATAGCACATGTAATTGGAGGTAATGCTCTACAGTTAGTGGGAAAGAGGTAGGAAACGCTTCCATATAGGGGTACTAATATATCGTTTGCCATGTACAGTTCAATGTCCTTTTCACATAACACAGTGATTTGCTTTAATTGAATTGACTTGGAAAAAGTATCTCATGCAGCACCGCAGAACATGATGTCAGTGCCGCATAATGGCTCGCCGTGTAAGAGTCATCAGTGACAGTTATGTACAAGGCCATAGAGTACTTATCAGTCTGTGCTCACATAGAAGATTCTTCCCTGAATACTTTTCACATTGTCTCCACAAATTCCTCTTTAACCTTTGTCAATAACTCGTTTGTTGGGAATACACTAGTGCGGACACCTCTTTAACCCCTTCACGCCGGCCGCAGACAAATGTGAGGCCTCCCGGCGTCTGGGCCTAGACGCTGCTGAGCGGCCGCATATTTGCGCGCAATTAACAAAAAACATATGTGCTGAGAACGAGCATCCTGCGCACTCCCAGTACACATGTCCGGTACTCACGGAAAGGTCCCGGTCTGTTCTTTCAATCGGGACCTTTCCCGATCATGTGACCGCGTCACGGCGGTCACATGATCCCTAAACCCCGCCCTGCCTCCCGGCTTCTGAAACTCCTAAAGGGCCGGGAGGCGCCGGCGGGAAGGGGTTAATCTACAAGCAAATCTATGCAGAGCGTCGGAAGCAGGGGCGGACTGACCATTTGGAAACTCGGGCACTGCCCGAGGGCCCTGGGTCAGTGGGGGACCCCATGAGATGCCCCTGGTACCTTTTTCATAGGCTTTTTTGAGTTTGGGCAAGGACACAGGGGCCCCATGATTCCCTATTGCCCGGGGGCCCCATGAGTTGTCAGTCCGCCCCTGGTCGGAAGCATGGACAAAGTTCTTTACACCACTCTGGAATCAATCACGGTGCATTTACACCATAGAGCAAAAATCTGCCTTGTAATCAGCCTTTTGTCCATCAGAACAGAAGCAACAACTGGAGTCAATCAGAGATCTATTATGATTGTTAAAGCCCAATTGAACTCTCAGCTTAAATCGGCTAAATACATTCCAGGTGCAACAAAAAAAAAGGATTGCTAAGGCTGGCCATACATTATACAATTTTCTAGAGATGCCTGTAGCGAAAAAGCAAGAAAAGAAATAGTGCAGGGCAGACATGACGAGGCCAAGAGTGGTTAAAGAAAGACAAGAAAGGGTTAAGATAGTACAAGGCGGGGTTGTAAGGGTATGGATATGTCCTGATTGGTAGCTGGGGAGTGTAGGTGGGGTCTTCTACACCTTGGGGTGGGGGATGGGGAGGGTCATCATTCATTGAGGTTGGGACATGAGAGAGAGAGCTTCCCTCCCACCCGCCCTTGTTTTCCTGTGGGTATTGTGTCACTTCCAGGTGGGGGGGTTATTCAGGTTCCTGTGAGGTTGTTGGTCTTTGGAGGCAGTACTTACTTTGGAAGGTAAAAATAATGGTTTGGGACCAGGGGTGGACTGACAACTCATGGGGCCCCCGGGCAATAGGGGATCATGGGGCCCCTGTGTCCTTGCCCAAACTCAAAAAAGCCTATGAAAAAGGTA